GCTGAAGTTGTTTATCAGGTTTAAATGTTTTCTGGTAGAATCTTTGGGGTTACTTAAGAGCACTTTAGAGCAACTCTTAAGTTCATTTGGAATAACAAAAAACCCAGGATAGTGAAAACTATTCAACAATAAAAGAGTACGTTGGGGAATCACAGTCCCTGATTTCAAGCTGTATTATAGAGTAATAGTGATAAAAAATTGTATGATATTGGTACAGTGACAGGCAGGTAGATTGATGGAATAGAATCCAAGACCCAAAAATGAACCCACACACCTATGGTCAGTTGGTTTTTGACAAAGGAGCTAAAACCATCCAGTGGAAAAAAGACCACATATTCAACAAATGGTGCTGGTTCAACTGGTGGTCAGCGAGTAGAAGAATGAAAATGGATTTATTCTTATCTCCTTGTACAAAGCTCAAGTCCATGTGGATTGAAGACCTCCACTTATAACCAGATACACTAAAACTAGTAGAAGAGAAAGTGTTGAAGAGCCTCAAATACATGGGTACAGGGGAAAATTTCCTGAACAGAACTTCAATGACTTATACTCTAAGATCAACAATAGACAAAAGAGATCTCATAAAATTGCAAAGTTTCTGTAAAGCAAAGGACACTGTCAATAGGACAAAGCAGCAACCAACAGATTGGAAAAAGATCTTCATCAATCCTATATCTGATAGAGGGCTAATATCCAAAATATACAACGAACTCAAGAAGTTAAGACTCCAGAGAACCAAATAAACCTATTTAAAAATGGGGTACAGAGTTAAACAAAGAATTCTCAACTGAGAAATCTTGAATGGCTGAGAAGTACCTAAAGAAATGTTCAGCATCCTTAGTCATCAGGGAAATGCAAACCTTGGAATACAGAAGATACAATTCACAGACCACATGAAGCTCAAAAAGAAGGAAGACCAAAGAGTGGATGCTTTGGTCATTCTTAGAAAGGCTAACAAAATACTCACAGGAGGAAATACAGAGACAAAGTGTGGGCGAGAGACTGAAGGAAAGGCCATCCAGAGACTGCCCCACCTGGGGATCCATCCCATAGACAGTCACCAAACCCAGACACTACTGTGGATGCCAAAAGGTGCATGATGACAGGAGCCTGATATAGCTGTCTCCTGAGAGGCTCTGCCAGAGCCTGACAAATACAGAGGCAGATGCTCACAACCAACCATTGGACTGAGCACTGGGTCCCCAATGGAGGAGTTAGAGAAAGAACTGAAGGAGCTGAAGGGGTTTGTAACCCCATAGGAAGAACAATAATCCCCTAGAGCTCCCAAGGACTAAACCACCAACCAAAGAGTACACATGAAGGGACCCATGGCTACAGCCACCTATGTAGCACAGGATAGCCTTGTTGGCATCAACTGGAGAAGAGGCCCTTGGTCTTGTGAAGGCTTGATGCCCCAGTGTATGGGAATGCCAGGGTGGGGAGCTGGGCATGGTGCTGCACATTGTGATCCCAGCCCTAAGAGGAGATAAAGGCAAATGAACTTCTGTGAGTCCGGGGTAGCCTAGTCCACACAGAAAGTTCCAGGTCCACCAGGACTATGGAGTGACATAGGAGCCCGGTATGGCTGTTTCCTGAGAGGTTCTACCAGCATCTAACCAATACAGATGCAAATACTAGCAACCAATCATCAGATTGAGCTTAGGGACCCCAATAGAAGAGCTAGAGGAAATACTATAGGAGCTGAAAGGGATTGAAACTCCATATGAAGAACAATACCAACTAACTGGACCACCCAGAGCTCCCAGAGACTAAACCACCAACCCAAAAGTTGAGCCATGTACATATGTAGCAGAGGATAGTCTTATCTGATATGGGAGGGGAGATATGATATGGCAGGCCCTTGGTCCTGTGGATGTTTGATGCCCCAGCGTAGGAGGATGCTAAAGCGATGATGCAGAGGTGGGTGAGTGGGTAGAGAAGCACCCTCATAGAGACAAAGGGGAGGAGAGAGAGGGGGAAGTGGGCTGGGGTGTTTGTGGAGGGTTAACCAGGAAGGGGGATATCATTTGAAATGTAAATGAATAATCAATTATGTATATGTGTATTTGTATATGTATATACACACAAACACACATATATACTGTTTTCTACATGTCTAGGGCTCTTACATAGTGTCTCATATTAGAACACTATATAAGGTATCATCTCAAAGAAGCCTGCAATCTCACAAAGACAGAAAACGCAGACAGTAAAGAATACTGTAATATTAAGAGCCTCGTCATGGACAGGCTTGGCAGTGTAGACCTGTGGCTTCAGGTACTCAGGAGGCTGAGAAGAGGATCACAAGTTCAAAATCAGCCTAGGCAACAAAGTGATGTCAAGGTTTACCTGAGCCCCTCAGTAACATCCTATCTCAAAAGAAAAATGTTAAAAACAAAATGTAGCTCTGTGGTAGAGCACTTGCCTGGCATGTGCATAACACCTAGGTTCATTCACCAATACCAAAAAGTAAAAAGAAAAAGAAAAAAAACAAGACCAGGAAGTTAAGATTTATTTCCAATGGGGAAAATACCTTTTGGATAAAGATTAAACAGTAAATATCATTCTAAGCTGAAAATGTTACAAATATAATATAAATGATTTTACTTTGATTCTTTCTTCTGAACAAAGAATATATTATTGGTCATTTTCTATAACAATTATACCAAATGAATGAGAAACTTTATATAAAATATATATATATGTTTCATCTAAAAAGCATATTATTTCATAAATCAAAGTGAAAAAATACTAGGAACCTTAAGTTAAAAAAAATACTTAACAGTCAGAGTTGTAGACAGTTAAAGCAAAACAATATTTCAATGTCCTTTTTTTTTAACTTTCCTGTCTTTTAAAAAAATGTTTTATTGGTTATTCTATTTATTTACATTTCAAATGTTTTCCCCTTTACCAGTTTCCTCTCCACACACACCCTATCCCACCATTCTCCCTCTGCCTCTATGAGGGTCCTCCCCCACCCACCCACCCACTCCCACCTCACCACCCTGGCATTCCCCTACAGTGGGGCATCAAGCCTTCTCAGGACCAAGGGCCTCTCACTGATGTCAAATAAGGCCATCCTCTGCTACATATGCAACTGGAGCCATGGGTCCCTCCATGTGTACTCTTTGGTTGGTGATTTAGTCTTTGGGAGTTCTGGGGGGTCTGGTTGGTTGATATTGTTGTTCTTCCTATGTGGCTGCAAACCCCTTCAGTTCCCTCAGTCCTTCTCCTAACTTCTCTATTGGGGTCCCTGTGCTCAATCTGATGGTTGGCTGCAAGCATCCACATCTGTATTGGTCAGGTTCTGGAAGAGGCTCTCAGGAGACAGCTATATCAGGCTCCTGTCAGCAAGCACTTCTTGGCATCAGCAATAGCGACTGGGTCAATGGCTGCATACGGGATGAATCCCCAGGTGGAGGAGTCTTTGGAAGGCCTGTCCTTCAGTCTCTGCTCCACTCTTTGTCCCTGCATTTCCTTTTGACAGGAGCAATTCTGGGTTAAAATTTTGGAGAAGGATGGGTGGTCCCATTCCTCAACCGGTGCTGTGTCTAACTTCTCCATATGGTCTCTACAGGTTCTGTAGAAGAAGTCCAAAGTGTTGATGCTTCAGTCCTACTTAGAAGGGGAAACAAAATTATCATGGGAGGTAGAAGGTGGGAGGGACTTGGGAGGAAGAGAGGTTGGGGAGAGGGCAAAAGGGGGGCAGGATCAGGTGTGGGAGGAGACAGGGGAGATGTACAGAGGGTCAGGAAATTGAACAGAGGTGTGAAGCAATGAGGGATAGGGGATGGAGGCAGCCATCAGAAAGTCCCAGAGGGCAGGACCCAATGGGGATGACATCAATGTCATTTTATAATGATACTAAACCCCAAATGAAGCACGAGAACACCATCTGAGCTGATTAATAAGATCTCGTCAAATTACAATCATTGTAGAATTAAGTATAATCACTTTATTTCTGACATAAAGGGATAAAACAAGCTGAACTAAAAAGAATAAATAAACAAAGAATACTGTTTATGAAGCAAAACAAAACCAAAGCTGCAATGAGTTCTTCCATCCATGTCAAGGATGAAAGCCTAAGACAGATGAGGAACTGTCCCCAATGAAAAGCATGACTACAAGATTCTAGATATGATCCTAAATCAGAAAACAATCAACGAAGACCATCATTAGAGCAATGCACAGTATCGTATTCTTGCAGTCCCAGAATTCTAAAAGCTGAAAAGAGATGATCATGAGTTTGAGGCCAGCTTGGGTTACACAGCAAAACCATATCAAAATTAAAAAGCAAACAACAAAAGCAGTCAGGCATGGTAGGACATAACTGCATTGTCGACCTCTGAAAGGATAAGCAAGAGAATAGTTAAGTTACAGGCCAGCTTGGGTTACACAGTAAAGCCCCATCTTTAAACCATAAACAAAGGGATGGGCAAGATGGCTCAGTGGGTAAAATGCCAAGCCTGATGACCTAAGTTCAAAATCCCAAACTATGAGAGTAGGAGACAATCAACTCATAGAAGATGTCCTCTGACATTTTCAGGTACACCATGACACACGCCAGTAATAAGTACAATATTTAAAAACAATTTTTAAGCCTTAAAAATTTTAACATAATACTAAAAGGCTGATACAATGAGAAAAATTTAAATATCGAGTATATATTAGATATTATACAAATGTTATATTCACTTTAACATAACATAAAAGAATCTATCTGTTCCTAGAAGATACATATTATAGTATAAAAGTGGATGGCTTTCAGACTGGCACACTAATCTCAAGTATTTAGCATAGTATAGACAGACATGCAGGCAGAGTAAAAATAAAATGTAATAAACATGTGAATCTCAGTAGGGTATGTTCAACCAATCTAATCTGAAACTTTTCTTAAGATCTCAAATTATAGAAACAAAGGCTGAAGTGAAGAGGATAAGTCATTCTAGCACACACGGACATGTTTAAACACAGTAATGAGAATTTCCAAAATATATTACCTGAGTTCTCTCAGAAAGAGGATGGTCGGAAGAGTGTACTGAGTCTTTAGAGAGCGATTCAACAGTAGGACATATGTCTTCAGCAAGTTTCCCTTTCTGTATGCTTTCTTCAGGTAAAAGACATATGTTTTCTTTGTAACTGTCATCCTTTGACCTTAAGGTTTCTGTCACTAGTGGAACTTTTGGCATCACTGCTGTTGATCGGGAACGAACTGGCCGGCCTCTCTGAACAGTCTCCCATCCCTCAGCATCTTTCCGTTCTATGTAATTAAGGGAAGAAATTAAATCAAATTTTCTTTAGATGATAAAAATATTAGAGAACCTATAAAAAGAAATGTTTTCCAATTTAATTTAATTAATTTCTCTTTCCCTATTGTTTTTCCTAAAATATTTTAGGCAAATTTTAGACATTATTGCACTGTAATTATTTAATCTGATTCTTAACAGAAAACATCTTCAATTCTACTAGTATACCCAGCAAAAGGAATAATGATGCAAGTCATATCAATTCTATATTCAATATTTAATCATGCTTAACGTTATCAAAAGATACTACATATTTTTAAGTTTACTTTGTTTACACTTAAATATAAATGCAAACTGAACAAGAAATCATAAAATGAGTAAGAACAACACAAGGAGAGAAAACTGAATTACAAAATTCAAAGTTTAATAAAAGATTTCAGTTTCTAGCTAATTCAGCCAGTTCCTCCTCAAACCACGATGATTAATCAGTCACTTTATTCTTTAAAAGAAAGAAAAACACTACCAAAAAGTTGGGCCTAATCCACTAGCCAAGACAGCCAATACAAACACTATCATATAATTTAAAAATTGAAGCAAGTAAAAAGGGGTATTTCAAAATAAAAATTATATCAAAGACTCTTTGAAACAAAAAATAAAAAGCTACAGACAAATTACATCTTCACTGAACCTTCAGTGAAAACATATTGATAAGTTATTCCCATAATAACGATTGTTTAAGGACAGCAAATCATGTGTTAAAACTGTCTGAGCCACTGGAAACAGACTATTAGAACAAAAGTATAAACAGTAAAACGCACATCCCCTTTCCCAATCTTATACACATAAACCTTCCAATATCACAAATGTCATCTGTAAAGGTGCATTGAATTCAACTCAATAACAACCACTATTTGAAAAAGAATTAAAATACCCCATCTAGTTGTGATACATTCATGTATTTATAACACTGTTTAATACATAAATGCTTGGTTAGAATATTTACATCAGTGTTTAAGAGACAATCTTCCTGTAATTTCCATATTAGGTCTTGATGTTAAGATTATGCTAACATCATAAAATATGACCTTTTTTACCTTAGGATAAATTTCCATAGACTTGTTATTTTTATTTTACAAGTTTAGAAGAATTCATAGGTACAGCCATCTTGACATAAAATCTTTTTGGGAAAAGATATTTCAGATTCATATTTTTTCAAGATAATTATAAAGTCTCTTTAAGCTTCTCCTAACTTATTATGTAAATTTGAAGTTGTATTTTAAGAATTTTTTCAATTTCTTCTGATTTTCTGAATCTTAGGTATAATGCTGCTTTAACAGTCTATTACTACCTTGTCAACACTGGCACTTTCTCTATATTATTCCCTAGTTTTTTCCTGATACATACCTTTATTTCTTCTATTCCTTCATCTACATTACTAGAGATTGGTCATTTTATTCATTTATTTGAAAAATACCTCTTAAATTTATAGCTATCTATATATTTTTCTTTTTAAATTCCTTAGACTTTAATATTTCTTCTGTAACTTCAAAAGAAGGATATTTTAGTTTTCCTTCATCTCCATAATTCTTAAATGTTCACCTTCATTTTTCAAATTTTCACTGAGATGTCCTTCCTGACACCATCCAGATGTATCTTATGAAGTCCCAAATTTTAAGAATTATACAGCTATCTTTTTGTATTTTTTTTCTAACTTAATTCCATGTGATTAGTAACAAAACATGCTTCATCTCTAGTCTATGGAGGGTGTACTCATGAAGATGACATACATTTTCAAGAGTTGGTTCTTTCTACCATGTGGATTTGTCCCAGGTACAGAACTCAGGTCATCAGGCTGGATGGCGAGTTCTTTACACACTGAGCTATCTCGCCAGCTGCAGCACTCCCACCCCATATCTCCCAATTGATTTAAATCATCTGAAATTTCACAAGACTTTCTAACAACTCAGCACTGTTTTCATTTGAGTAACTGTTTCATGTATTCATGCATATGAATTTAGACTGAATAGTTCAGGACATAAAAAAGAACTTGAATGAAAACTGGCCTTTTTCTTGCCAAAAACAGCCATAAAAAATTAGACAAAATAGATAAATGAACTGTTAAAATAAAGGTGCTGGAAAGCAGCCAGCATAAGCATCTCTCTTTTTTTTTTTGGTTTTTCGAGACAGGGTTTCTCTGTGTAGTCCTGGCTGTCCTGGAACTCACTCTGTAGACCAGGCTGGCCTCGAACTCAGAAATCTGCCTGCCTCTGCCTCCCAAGTGCTGGGATTAAAGGCATGTGCCCACCACTGCCCGGCAGCATAAGCATTTCTTAAGAATCTACAATTCATGAGTGAAGGGAACGGCAGCATCAGACTCACATTCATGTTAGCATTCTGACTGAAGACACTTGGCAATGAGAGTACAGGAATTGTCTTCTAGCAAAAGCCAACATTTCAGCACTGGCATTAGAGTCCAGAGACAGTGTATTACGGAAAGTGATACTACAGAGAAATAAGCCCCCCTGAAAAAAAAATCTGCATTCAGTGTTCCCCAAGGTGCTGACAACTACTCAACTTTTTGCATACAAGACAAGGCTCCAAAAAAGCAGCAGAAAGAAGCAGCTGGGATGTTAACAAGCTAAGCAGAAATTGAAGTGACTACAATTCTTGGAAACAAAAAGGAATTGAGGAATGTAGTGGGT